GGATTTGGCCAGCTTTTACCTCCTTTGTGTCATCTTAATTTCTTGTTACCATAACACTTGGTAACAAGAATTTACCTTAGTAGATGAGATATTTTCTGAAGCATTTGGCATCTTTGTGAGGACAAGGCTTCATCATTTGCAAGGGGACAAGAAGACATCTCCCACTTGATCGACTAATCCCTAATTTTCTATGTTGATCACTTAAGGCCTTTGTGAAACATAACTCTAGTTGATTCCTTCAAGCAATTGTCAGTTTTAAAGAATGTGAAAGAACCATCAAGACCTTACTGAATATCTAATACTCCAGGGTCTTTATAATCACATTTAACATCCTTTAAAACTACATAAGCTTCCATCAAGATTAAACAGAAAACAAACATGTTCTACTGTAGAGTTTTATGAACATATTCATTCATTGTCCCTTTATTCGACTGCCAAGGTCTAATCACTTGTTACAGTGACAATTCTGTCATGAATGAAATTTGCACAGATATCTTTAGCTAGCTTTTCTGTTTCATTTCATTCAAACGCATACTCATCCATTAAACATATAATTGCTTAATGAACAGATAAATTCCTTTATTTGAACCACAAAACAAGATCATTCTCCATTGAAACTAAAACTAACTGTGAACTTGAAATAACAAAATCGAAACTACTTAATCTTTAACAATGCTCCCACTGTTTTAAGCATCCAAATTATTCTTCAGTCCCATGCTTTGAACATGCCTGTGAAAAACTGCATTTGGAACCCCTTTTGTAAGTGGATCTGCAATCATCTTTTCTGTACCAATGTGGCTTATGTTGGTATATCCTTGAGCAATCTTTACTTTTACTATTATGAATTTAACATCCAACAGCCTCGAACCTTTTGTCCTTTTGTTTCCTTTTGCAAATAAAACTGCAGCACTATTATCATTCCATATTTGAATGGGCCTATGGATAGATTCAACCACATTTAGACTGAGGATGAAATTTCTCAGCCATATAGCTTGAGAGGTAGCTTCATAACAGGCTAGGAATTCTGCAAACATGGTTGAACCTGCTGTCAATGGTTGTTTCACACTTCTCCATGATACTGCACCTTCTCCAAACATGAACACATAACCTGATGTAGATTTCAAGGTGTCTTGACAACCTGCGAAATCTGCATCTGCATAACCTTGTAATTCAAGTGTATCACTTCTTTTAAAGATTAATTTGTAATCTTTAGTTCTTTGCAAGTATCTCAACACTCTTTTTCCTGCAATCCAGTGTGCTTGTCCAGGATTCGACTGAAATCTTCCTAGCATGCTCACTGCAAAAGCTAAGTCAGGTCTGGTACAGACTTGTGCATACATCAGACTTCCTACCAGGGAAGCATATGGTTTGTCAACCATCTCTAGCCTTTCTTGTTCAGTCTTGGGTGCTTGCTCAGTGCTCAACTTGTCCCCTTTTGCTATAGGAATGTCACTTCCTGTACAGTTCTGCATATTAAACCTCTTGAGTACCTTTTCTATATAAGACTTTTGAGACAGCCCTAGGACTCCATTCTTTCGATCTCTGCTTATGTCTATTCCCAAAACATATGATGCCTCACCTAGATCAGTCATTTCGAAATTCTTAGATAGGAAATTCTTGCAGTCATGTAACATGGTCTGATTTGTGCAAGCTAATAAGATGTCATCTACATAAAGAACTAGTATAATGAAATGTCTCCCACTCATTTTCATATAGATACATTCATCCAAGGCATTCTCTATGAAACCAAAATCCTTAACTACCTTGTTAAACTTCAAGTACCACTGTCTAGAGGCTTGCTTTAAGCCATAGATCGATTTACAAAGCTTGCAGACCAATTCTTTTCCTCCTTCTTGAACAAAACCTTCAGGCTGTACCATGTATATGTCTTCTTCTAAATCCCCATTTAGGAAAGCTGTTTTGACGTCCATTTGGTGTAAATGAAGGTCAAAATGTGCCACAAGAGCCATGATTACCCTTAATGAATCCTTAGTTGAGACTGGTGAGAATGTCTCATTAAAATCTATCCCTTCCTTCTGTGTGAATCCCTTAGCAACCAACCTTGCCTTATATCTGTCTATCTGCCCTTTTGAATTCAATTTTGTTTTGTACACCCACTTGCAGCCAATTGGTTTGCAGCCTTGAGGTAAAGTCACAAGATTCCAAACACCATTCTTTTCCATCGATTTTAATTCTGACTTCATTGCTGCAAACCAATTATTTTTATTTTCACTTGTCATTGCCTGTCTGAAAGTTGCAGGATCATCTTGTGTGTTGATGTCATGTTCTGATCCCTGCAGATACACAAAGTAGTCATCTCCCAAAGCAGGTTTTCTTTGCCTTTGTGATCTTCTTAGTTCCATGTTTGGTTCTGGTTCTTCCACTGCTGGTGCTTGAGTGTATTTTGATCCTCCATTTGCAATGCTTGATTGTCATTCAATTCCAATTGTTCTGCGTTTTCATGACCATCTGCATTAGTCTCTTCAGCGTATTCCATTTGAGTATTGCTAGAATTAAACTGAGGCAAGACCACAATATCTTCATTAGGATTCAATAACATATCTTGATCCAAAATTGTCTCTTCAAAACTGAATTGTCCTTCTTTATCTTCTTCATGGTCAGTCTCTATGAAGACTGCTCTAGAGGTCTCTATGAACCTTCTTGTGTGGTGAGGACAATAGAATCTGTAGCCCTTTGTCCTCTCAGGGTAACCAATGAAGTAGCAGCTTATAGTTTTCGGATCCAATTTCTTTTCTGCAGGATTATAAGGTTTTGCTTCTGCTCTACATCCCCATGTTCTCAAATGTTTTATGCTAGGCTTCCTTCCATTCCATACTTCATAGGGAATTTTATTTATGCTTTTGGTTGGAATTCTATTTAAGATATAGGCTTATTATCACAAAACGTCCCTGACATTTGCGAAATTATCACATTGCATCCCTAACGTTTTTTGTATCATTAATGGTCCCTAACGTTAATATAGGTACTCTTAAATAGTCACTCTGTCAAAAAAACCGTTAAATCCAGGGGTATAATCGTCAAATCAATCCAAAATTATTTATAAAAAAAAAAATTCCTTCACTTCTCTCTTTCTTTTCTTCTTCTTTCTTCTTTCTCTCCGACTAGCCTTTCTTTTCTTCTTCTTTCTTCTTTCTCTCCGACTAGCCCCGTTCTTTTCTTCTCTTCTTCTCTCTCTCTCTCTCTCTGTTCCTCTTTTTTTTTTCTTTCTCCTTTCTCTCTTTCCTCCTCTTTTCTTCTTCTTTTCCTTCGTTGTTTCTTCTTTCTCTCTGAATTTTTTATATTTGATGGGGGAAGCTGAAGGGGACGAGTACGCTCCGACGAAGGGGCATTCGGATTCGATGAGTGATGTTCCGGCGAAGAAGCTTGCGAGGCAGCTGGATTTCACGGGATTTGGTGGCGCACCGGCGAGTGTGGCCATGCCGGAGCTCCCTAAACCGCAACTGCCGACCGTGGCGGTGCAACAGAGTCAGCCAAAGCCACCTGTAGTGGCTGTGCCGGTACCCGTGTCACCGCAGCTGCCCATACCTTCAGGGAGGCCTGTGTAAGTTTGTAGCTTTTCATATGAATATGCAATGAAGTTTAATTTGTTGGGAAAATTTTTGCCGCGTAATAATTGTATGTTCCGTTGGTTGCTTATTAGTTCAATTTGATTGAGAAGTTTGGATTTTGAGGTAATGTGGGAAAACTGCTCAAAATTGGAGGCGGCTTGAGAGCATTGTTTTGGAGAATTTCGTGTGTGAGCTGGTATATTTTGGGGTCTGTTAAACAATCTTTTATTTTGTTTGAAGGATTGATTTTGGAGGCGTTTTGGGTATTTTTGGGAGTGTTTAATACGAGTTTGCTATTCGAATTGCTATAGTTCGGTTACTTGAACTACTGCATTTGTAAACGAATGGGAGAAGGGAAGAAGAAAAGAAAGAGAGAAGAAAAGAACGGGGCCAGGCGGAGAGAAAGAAGAAAGAAGAAAAGAAAGAGAGAAGGGAAGGAAAAAAAAAATATTTTAATAATTTTGGATTGATTTGACGATTATACCCCTGGATTTAACGGTTTTTTTGACAGAGGGACTATTTAAGAGTACCTATATTAACGTTAGGGACCATTAATGATACAAAAAAACGTTAGGGATGCAATGTGATAATTTCGCAAATGTCAGGGACGTTTTGTGATAATAAGCCTATATCTTAAATAGAATTCCAACCAAAAGCATAAATAAAATTCCCTATGAAGTATGGAATGGAAGGAAGCCTAGCATAAAACATTTGAGAACATGGGGATGTAGAGCAGAAGCTGTTCCATCGAAATTCAATTTGAATTTCGATCTTACAAGCCTAGTAACTGAAATCAAACTCTTCCTCATAGAAGGAACATAAACTACTTCATCTAATTCCAAAACAAAACCAAAATCAAGCTTAATTCTAACTGTCCCTATATAATTAACTTGGACTTCTTCTCCATTTCCCACGAACACTTTCACCTCATCCTTGCTTGGCAATCTCTTGGTTGTGAATTCCTGCAAAGAATTAGCCACATGAATAGAAGCACCACTGTCTAACCACCATGAATCACATGAGAAATTAACCAAATTTGACTCAAAACAAACCAAAATCAGATTGCTGTTACCTTTTCCTTTCTTCTTCTCCAACCAATTTTTATATTTCCTGCAATCTCTCTTCATATGGCCTGGCTTTTTGCAAAAGAAACAGTTCATTCCAGTTGAAGGTTTCAAAGCTTTTTCAATAATACTTTCTTTCTCTTTTCCCTTTCCAGATGCAAATTTATGCTTGTATTCTTTGTTCTGTTTGGTCTGGACCATATTGACCATCTTAGCTCCTCTTTCTTTTATGAGGTTGTGCTCTTGTTGGACAGAAATTGTAATCAAATCATTCAAGGTCCATCTTTCCTTCTGAGCAATGTATGTTTCTTTGAGGGACTTAAATTCCTTTGGTAATGAATTCAGTGCAAAATGAACCATCATATCTTCATCTACTGTCATGCTTAGCTCCTGCAGTTTGGTCCCTATATCAATTAAATTCATGATATGTGCTCTAACGCATCCTTGTCCATCATACTTCATGTCAATCAACTGATTCAGCAGAGTGCTCTTGGTAGCTTTCTCGGATTCTTTGAACCTCTGTGCTATTGCCTCATAGTATTTCTTTGCATTCTCAGATTTTGGAATGCTCCCTTTCACTGAAGAGGCCATAGCCCTCTGCATGATCAGCAGAGCCATCTTGTTTGCCCTTTCCCACTTGGCAAACTTGGTTTTAGTTTCTGTAGTAGCATCTGCAGCTGGCACTTGAGGAGGTTCTTCTTTAAGCACAAAATCATAATCCAAAAAACCTAGTGATATTTCCAAATCCTGCTTCCACTTGCTATAGTTCGATCCAGTCAAGGTTTCAATGGAGTTGTGATTCACTGTAAAATTTGCAATGCAAATTAGAACTGTCCCTAAAATCTTTATTTAAACATGTCAACTTAAACCTGTGAGTTCAAGTTAGCATGTTCCAAAATCCTAGACAGTAAACTACACAGACATCCTGTGCAAACAAACTCACATCTGTGGATGTAGAGATGCTTGCAAGTCAGTGTAGTCAACTGTCCAGATTGTTCCATCGGTGTTGTGATCAATCTACGCAATTTCACATCTGTGGATGGAGAATCACTTAGAAGGCTACGAACACTGATGCAATTTCTTGATCAAACTGTCAAATTTTAAAACTCTTACTTAGCTTGAGCAGCTGTGGCTGCTCAATCTGCATAACAGTTTTTTTAAAATTATTGATCAAGACCTTTTTGAGCGGAAAATAACCTTTTGCTCGTGTTTCAATTTAGAATATGCATAGCAAAAAAGAACTTGCAAATTTGTTAACTCATGATTAAAACAGCTAGATTAATAAACAAAAACCAAGAGCTCTGATACCACATGTAAGTCCTTACTAAGCTTTTATTTAATAATGCTAACCGTGTTCAGCCATGGTAATTGAATAGATTGTCTTCTTCACCTATGCAGCCTTTATTCTCTTGTCTCTTAGATAGGGTGAGGTCTGTGTTTGAGATGATTGCTGCAAGGGAAGGGACCTCTATTTATATATATGCATCACATCGATACCTTGCCTATCAAGAAGTAATCGTGTGTCCTTGTTGCATTTAGATTAGGTTAAGTTCAATCCATAATATACTAGGAATCCTCTTCACACTTGTTTTCTTTAATAAACTCTATATAAGTGTTTAGATAGAAGACTAAGTTTTGTTTCCTGATCAACTAAGAAAACCGAATCCTCTTAGGATTAGAAGATCACCTTATGTGGACTAAGACAAGATTTGTCTTACACTTCATAGTTGGTAGTTTCACACTTGAATGACTTGAGTCCAACCAAAATCGTCTTTGAAGACAACGTTGTCAATTGTCAACAATATTAGGTTTTTTTTGTTCTCTTTTATTGGTTGGTTTTTTTCACTTTCACACAGAAAAAGAGATAGGAAGCAATCAATCATCCTGTTATCTGCGGCACTTGATTTTTCAGTGGATGGGATGGGAGGCCGATGGAATCATGAAATTATTTTTCTTGCTTTTATTTGCTCAAAAAGTAAAAGTATTGGATTTCAAGTGGTTTCCCACCCACCCAAAATCCCACCCCCCCACTTCTAACGTACTCCACAAGTTAAAAGTTCACTATAACTAACAATTTTTCTTTCTATTATGTAATTCTCTGGCATGCTAATTAATATTTTACTATTTAAATTGTATAACATGACTTCGGTGGCATCAAATTCATAGTTTGATAACATCATAAGATATTAGTAACAACCAATAACAATATTAGTCTTCATACATATCGTATATAGGAGCCATGTTGACCTGATCAACATAATTGCACACTTGTCCGACAAATAATTGAGTCCACGAAACCACACCAATCATCCAACTATTTGAAATTATTACAAGAAAACGAAATGTTGTTTAATTCAAACAATTGGTCTCTATCATTAGTTCTTTTCAAAAATTATTACTAGAAGAATACTATTTTCATTTGTTTATAAATTACTATATTCTTCACTCGGACATCTATGTTCTTAATCTGGCTCATCAGAGAGCGAAGATGATTAATTGGAATCTTGCTTGGGTGTGAGGTAGACAGAGAGGTTGTAGTGGGTGGTGGAAGAAGGCTGGAATCTGTCCCAAAAAATGAGTGAGAAAGAGATACTGATGGAGATTTTGATGGCTTAACTTCCAATCATCCTGCAGTTTCCATTGCCAACAAAGTGATGTTTTTGATAGGCTTCATCTTCTTTACGCATTTGCCAATTTGGCATGCCCCAATTATTATATTTCATCCTTTAACTTCCCAATTCCCCCACTCAGACATTGCACCGTGCACCATTGAAAAAGATGAAAAGGGTTTAATAATAAATAAAAAAAGCTTTCTCTAAATCTCTGGATAAAATCTTAACAAACAACCCATTATATCAAATATTATACATCAATCAAACTAATTGAACCCACCTTCAACTGTGTGAGTAGTATGTGGCAGAAGGTGGGGTTCTGGACATGTTGCTGCCAAAGCAATGTCCTTTTTCGAAACAGCAGAGAGTTAGGAATGAGTTTATTTTTGCTCACCACTTTAATCCAAGGTGTACTCTCATTACTTATCTTAACACTTGACACGTGTTTTTTAGCATAACCATAGTTAAATCTTTAATTTGTATTTATGCAACCATGGTTATGTCAATGGACACGTGTCAAATATTGAGATTGGTGGTGAAAGTACACCTTAGGTTAAAGTGCTCCCGTTAGGAACAAAAATACAGAGAAGAAAGGTACTGCATGCACAAAAATCTAATATACTTTAAAGTACGGATACATCATGTTTCTAGACCGTTAGATGAGATCGACGGTTTACATTTATTGTAATACAAAAAGAACAAATTGTTAGATATTTACCTACACAACCTGCAGGAGCAGGTTGCAAAGGGACAAAGCTGGGCCATTTTTTTTTAATAAAGAAAATGATAACAGATAGAGAAAAAATAGTTGAAGAAGAAAGAGTATTTTTAGCGAGATTTGTACAGTGATCTTTCATCATGACTGATTACAATAATGACTCTGTTATATACAGAGTTAATCCCGGACTGATAACAATCTAACAAACATCACGTGGTGTCACATGCTTTGACACTAACTCCTCACTATTATTATAGTTATCATTCCCCCTCAAACCCAGCTGTGGTGAGTATCCTAATCTCATATGTGCACAACGTTGTGAGAAAATGGGACTATGCAGACCTTTGGTAACACATCGGCTAGCTGTTCTTCGGTTGGAATATACTGCACTATAAGATCTTTTCTCTGCACCTTTTCCCTTATGAAATGAAAATCAATATCTAGTTGCAAATCCTGCAAAACTTGTAGTACCAAAAAAAGATCTGCCGCACTGTTTGCCAAGGCTCGATACTCAGTTTCTGTAGAACTTCTAGAAACTGAGCTCTGCTTCTTTGATTGCCAAGATACAGGATTGTGACCCAAGAAAACTACAAACCCAGTAGTTGATCTCCTGGTATTGATGTCCCCGGCCCAATCTGCATCACTATATGCAGTGAGGTGCCAAGGGCCACTAGTAAAACTGATACCATGCTTCAGAATGCCTTGAACATATCTCAATATTCGTTTGATCAAATGAAAATGAACATCTGTTGGTGCAGTCATATATTGGCAGGCAGTATTCACAGCATAAGCTATATCCGGTCTTGTAAATGTCAAGTATTGCAAATCCCCTACAATACTTCGAAACATAGTAGGATCTGACAAGACCTCACCTTCTTCTTTCAACACCTGTGTATGTGGTTTACAAGGTGTAGGACAAGCTCTGCAAGAGGTAATACTATAGATTTCTGCAATAAGTCTTTAGCATATTTTTCCTGACTAACAAAGATATCCCCTGAGTCACTATAAGTAATCAATAATCCCAGAAAATAAGTCAACTTCCCCATATCTTTCATTTCAAAAACAGAACTTAAGTCATCAAATTTTGGTGAGTTTTCAAAATAAAGTGGACAAACCTGAAAAAAAAAGAACATTCTGCAGCCTAGTCTGTTTTGGTTTCTATTTTGACATGCTTCCTTAACCCTACTTGTTATCAAATTTTGATATTTTTAATGTTTCTATGTCTAGTTGTGATCTGGAAAGTTTTACAATATTTTGATTTAAACTCAATATTTAGTGAATTTTCAAAGTTAACGTGTTCCAACCTAAATGTTTAGCAACACTGAAGTTTTTGTTTTAAATTGATGTTTTAAATTTTATTTATGAGTCTAGAGCCGAACCATCAGATTTTAAACATCCCAAAGAGTAGAATAATTATAGGAGGGGAATAGATTAGTTTTTCCTTGACTGTTGGTTCTATGCTTGCTTGGACGTGAGGTTAAGGGAGTAACAATCGGTCGAACAACTTATCGAGCGTTTTATGGGGTTTTAGGTCTACGTGCGCTAAGTAGAACACTCAAACTTGTTTCCTTATTTCCAGTCAATTTTAATCAGTAAATTATCTTAATTAGGTATTCTACTCTGCGTACTTTCAAGGACGAACCTGCACAAGGTTAAGCTAACTGGACACGAGGTAGGGTTTCTTGATTTCCCGATGATTGGGCTATGTCACTTTTAATCTTGGTGCTTATATATAGTATTATAAATATGAATATTATTGTTGTTTTGCTCGATGAATATTATTTGATGTTATGTGAATATTATTATTGATGTTTTTCTTTGGATATTATTTGATGTTGGGTGAATATTATTATTCATGTGATTAAGCTTGATATATTATTGTTATTATCTGTGTCATTATTCAGCAGAGATAAATGATGTTTGCACTGCATTACATATGCATCATAAATACAGTGGAGTTTGGGGTGTGTATGTCGTTTGAGGTATATCTAAGGGGTGGGAGAAGGCCTTAGATATATCTAAGTAAATATAAATGTGGAATATATTCATGTGACGGGAGTAGGGCTTGAATATATTGAGGTGATGGGAGCAGGGCCTCTAATGAAAAGTGAAAGTTGAGAAATTCGTAAATAAAAGAAAAATGGATTAAGGGACGGATGTGCACTAGTTCATATTTTGGGGTATTCGGAGCCACAATGGTAAAACGCATGGTATGGGACATGCAGGCTTGTTGCCCTAAGATATGAATTAGTTGGATTAGAAGGGAGTGAGTTCATGGCATCACCGCATATGCAAATTTATTTATCTGGTATGATTGCATAATTTAAATATCTTGTGTTGTTTGATGCATGATACTTGGATTAACTGTGATAGCTGACCTTGAGGGGTTTGACGATACTCTATTGAACATTAGAATGCTCATACCCTAATAGATTGTGCAGGATTCAAGGCGAAGTTTGAGTAAGCGGGTTTCAACCAAGCTACTAGGCTTTTGTTGTTGATTTTTGTAATTAATATTTGTAAGTAATCAACCGTTTGATAAAAATCTTAGTGTGTATTTAACTACGAGTTACTGCGACTCTGATTTTGTATTGTTAAGTAAATTTGTAGTATTTGTGGGTCTATTTCTCATCATATCATGGTTGTAGGATTTTATTCTTATAATTATGGTATGACTCACATCATGATTCGGGAATATTCATTATTTTTGAATCGGGTCATGACACCAAGCCCCCAGCATGATGGCAGCGATGATTCCGGAGCCTAGCTCGAGGATTTTAAGAGGTCGGCGACGCTAGTCCAAGGTCATGAGATTGGGATCTAGTGGGCCGGTGCTAGGGTTCAACGATGGTGGTCGAGGAGAGTGTGGAGCGTGGTGGCGGCACCTTGAGACGGATGGCTGTGAAGGCTGTGATCTCAATCTATTTTCATGATGGTTTCAGACTCAGTGAAAGAAAGAAGGGTGGATTTGGGTTGCGGGGAAGCTGGGCAGTGAGCTTGGAGAGAGAGAGAGCACGTGGTGGATTTGGGCGTGGGGAGGAGCTGGGCAGTGGCTATGAGGTTCGAGCATACCATTGCCCTTATATAAACAACCCGTTCTCTTACGTTAATTATCTTTCACCCGTGAATTCTATCTATATACATACATACAATATTGTAATTAATGCCAAGTGGACTTGGAGTTTGGAAGGAAGGTACTGCATGCATGCGTTTCTGTTCCCAGTCACGACTACTCACGGGTCCCAAAGTCAATGAGTCAACGGAGCCCATAGTTAAATTGATCAGTTTAACTATATTTGTTCACCAAACTTTGGAATGTTCACTAACTGGTTCTTTCTTTAGACATTATGGGCTCGGATTGGCTTGATCCAGTACAAAAACAAATCAAAGGAAAGGTTTACTATTTTGGGTAGGCAATTTGGGTCCAAACTGTTTCAAGCCCAAACCAAACTAGGACACGGTTGTTATTTAAGTTGTTAAGAACATTTACCCCGTGTCTGAAGGCCTTGGTTCATTTCATCCTATCCTCTAATAATGTCGCTTGAATACAAAAATAAAAACCATATTGTCTTCCTTTTGCTTTTTAAAACAAAAATGTTATATTAAAAAAAATAGTAAATTGAGCTTAGACCCATAAAATTCATTTTTAATCACCTATAGTCCTTCTCTTTATTTTTCTATTTAAAATATCTAGTTTTTTCAAATAAAACCCCGAATGACTAGGATTCAACTAAGTAAGTTACCTAATCTAACTTAAAATATAAATTAGATTCCAAAACTACCCCCATTTACAAGTTAACGTGTTATGTGGTGGGTGTATTAAGTCTTAGTTCCTAAATTTATTGTTTTGATTTTCTCCCACCGAATTAGCCTGCAATTCAATACTTAAAAAAAAAAAAAAAAAAACTATAATTCAATACTCTTTATGCATCAGTTTTGGTTATGAATTTACTTATGATTTAAATAATATACCGAATTTATTTAACGCATTTTTGAAAATGATGTACCTAATATTTTATAAAAATAATTTACCTATCATGAATAAAAGATAATAGGTAAATTATTATCAATAAGAGATAATAGGTAAATTGACATTATCAATAAAAGATAACGTACCTCTTTTTTAAAATACATAATGTACCTATTATCAATAAAAGATAATAGGTTACTATGTAGGTACATACATGTCATACAGGTAAATTATTTTTATTTAGAAATGAGCACCATTGTAGGTACATTGTAAAAATAATATACATGCCATTTACATATAATAAAAAAAATCCCTATCAGTGCATCAATTATTTTTATTATTACTTTTTATGAAATCAAAACAAATTTACGGCAAGAAAAGGATCATCCATATCCAAGAGAATATACACGGTTTATTAGGAAAAGAATCAATGTACAGTTGCAAACGAAGTAATTAATGAAGGTTAATGGCATATATTGTACTTTAATTGATAATACTAGGACAAATATTATCTTAAATGACAGCATATTTCAAATTTGGGTTTATGTTAAACATTTAGAAATGGTTGAATTTATATCTAGAAATGGGTATTTTCCTTAAGAACCCAAAAAAGAAAACCATGAGACACAGACATACAACAAAATGTAAGAATTGGGGTACTTTATCAGTCCAGTCCCATTACACACAAATATGTAACCCAATGCTTTATTCCACAGCTAGCAAGCTGTTTGTATTAAAATTATACCCCACGGACGATCTTCATCACTTAAGGGCAACCAGAGGGGGCAAATCCGACTTTTCCTCCAACTACGTCATACACAACCTCCAACCTCTTCTGTTGAAAATTCCCAATTATCCCAATCTCACTATCATCCTTGTTTCCGGCAAACGCCAAGCAAACCTGCGAAGGACTTATCACACTCAATATCCCGGCCGCGTCCAAGTCCACCGTAAGTCCGTCCCCAAACACAAATGCTATCTTCGGATACGACACCGTGTTCAAGCCGCTGAAATCGTAACACGTGTCCAGCAACGAAAACGACTTAGTCAGCGTGTAGTTCTTCATTGCCTCTCGAAAAGCGCCCCGCAACGAAGCATATGCCGTCGCCGGCAGCCGAGTGATCACCGTCCCCGAGTCGATGATCGTTCCTGAAGACGAAAAGACCGAGGGCGCAATCGACAGCTGGCGCCCCCTGACGTTGAGGCCGGCGAGGCCGAGGCCGTAAAGCGACGACGCACTTTCGCTTTGGGATGACGTGATGAGCTTCGTGAACTTAACGCCGTTAGCGGAGCCTCCGTCGCCAAAGGTGAGGTGACCGGTGGAGCTGGAAGTCGACGGGAGGCAGTAGGAGAAGAATCGGTTGTATTTATTGGCAGTTTGTTCGACGAAGGAGATGCTGCTCCAGCCGAGACCGAGCAAACCGACGGATCCACTGAATAGGCCTTCGTTGTCTAGGCCGCAGCCGAAGAGGAAACCTTCAAAAACGTCCGTGGGGGTCAATGTAAGCTTTTCGCTGCCAAATACCCCTTTAGAGAAGGAGTTGTCACCGTACCCGGTGATGTAAAGGCAGGTGGAGGCGGAGCAGCTTTGTTCGAACCTGAAGGATGGAAGCTGAGTACACGCGGCGGTGGTACATGAGATGTTTTTGTATGAGGCAGAGAGAGAAGGGTCGAAGATGGGCTCTCTCTGTTTGTAACAAAACCCAGCACATGGCTGGCATTGGGTCCAGGTGAGGTCGTTGCCGGTATCAAAGGCGAGGGAGAGTTGCTTGGCAGGTGTATCGAGGCTGACGGTGACAATGTAGTTCCCTGAGCCGATAATGACACCAGACTTGGCGAGGAGGGTGGTGGCGGCAGATTGGGTGAGTGGGTCTTTGTT